AGACGGCTTTTGGACCAACCTGGCTAGAGTCATCTCTTTGTGTGCATCAGATTTTTTCATCAAGGAGTTTCCTAAACACGACTGGGCCACCCTCTATTTCAAAGCTCTGAGCTCATGCAACACTGGGCTGCCCTGTTCTTTGAGGTTTCATGAACACGAGTAAAACCCTCGGGACCTGATGCCTTTTTAAAAAAACATTTGGCTCTGAGAACGGACGTGTATTTTCTCGTGGTTCTGGAGGCTAGGTGTCTGAATTCAGGGTGTTGGTAGAACCTTGTTCTCTCTCCCGGCTTCTTCTGCAACTGAACTATGCTTGCATGCAGCTGTCTTCCTTCTGCCTTGGCATGCCCAACAGCCAGTCTTGAATTGCTTTTTCTAATCTTAACCCATCTGCTTCAGTCTTCTGCTCCTTTCAGGGCCAGTGGGCGCACCCTGGATGCTGGCTAACAGCTAGTTGTTGTTGGCGCCGCCGTCAGATCTGTGCCCTTTGAGAGCAGACCCCACAGACAACAGAGGGCGGCACTGTGCTCCTGCCCCTCTTCACAGCCACTGCTGCCTCGGCCACAATGTCGGTCCATTTCATTGATGACCCATCATGCTTTCCTGAGCAGCAGGCCCTTCGAGGCCAACCGTGGTCAGGTGTCTTGGAGTCAGTTTGAGGACACCGGACGTTGCAAAGTGTAAACACTAAATATGAGGGTGCAGGAAAGAAAAGAACAGAAAGTGCTGGAGCCCTGGCTTCAAGTGCGTCCGCCTCCACCCAGCCTCTCCATCGCAGTCCATTTGGTGGTGCGATGAACTGACCATCTTCCCCATTTCCAACGTACATGCCGGGGGCACTTAGTGTACTCAATGTTGTGGCCTTCACCACTGTGGATTTCCAGAATGTTCCTGTCACCCCAAACAGGGCAGTTCCTTCCCCTAAGATATCTGGGCACATCTGACACCCCTTCCCTCCCTGCACCTCCCTTTGGGTGCCAGGGCCCTCTCTCCGCCTGCATGCTTTGCGTTCTGGCTGGATGTGGGGGAAGTGCACGGAATAGGCCTCCCCAGACCTGCACACACACACACACACCCCCCTCCCAGCCCGTGCTGGGCACACTTAGTGTGCATCCCCCCACCCCCACCCCCACCCGTGCTTCTCCTTGCCACCATCTGGAGAATGGGCCTCTAGGGCCTGTCTGCGGCTGGGAGCCCGGGATTTGCATGTGAGGACAAATATACACGCACAGGCCTGCTCTCCACCTCCGCATTCCTCAGCAGACCCCTTCGCACCTGGGCAGAGATAGGTCAACCCTGGGCGGCTGGATTTGCATGCCCGCGTATTTCTGGGCTGAGGGAGTCTGAGAGGAAGTTGTTGAGGGAAGCTGGGGTGTTTCAGTCCCATCTCTCATGCCTCCTCCACTCACCAAATCTTCCCAGCACCCCTGCGCCCGGTCCTGAGGGGGTTCCTAGTCTGGGATTGCCCCAGCTGGAAACCCCTCTGCCAGTCCTGTGGGGTAAGGATTGGCGGAGCAAGCAGAAATGATGGGAATTCAGAAAGAAGGCTTCCTGGAGGAGTGGGCTTTTTGAACCGGGCATTGAAGGGTAAATAGGAGTTGGCCAGAAAGCTTTATGAAAGAAGAGTGAGGTGGGCCAGGGTCGGATTGAAAAAGGCCTCCACTGAGGGGAATGGGGAGCCATGGCGGATGTGAAGATGAGAGAAGTGTTTGGGGGAGGTTCTTTAGGGGCCAAAGTTGTAGATGACTTTGGGTCTTTGGTGATGAGGGTACTAGGACCAGATGCAGCCCTATGCCACCCCCAGTTCCTGCTGCCTCCACCCCAGCCTCAATATCCCTGCTCCCCTGGCAGGCACGGATGGTGGCTTTAGAATGATAAATCAAATCGTACCCCCTTCTCTGCTCAGAACTCTCCCCTGGCTTTCCCTCACTCAGACTAAAACTGACAGCACTCCCCACAGCTTAGCTCTTGTGGTCTGGCCCTTCCTGCGGACCGCTTCGCCGTCCCCCAGGCCCCCACCTTCATTGTAGCCCTGTTGCTCATCCCTGTGCTTCTTCAGGACCCTTGCACATGCTGTTCCTTGTGCCTGGAACTCACTTCCTGTCTCAGTTGAGAAGCACGTCCTGTCAACTACTGCCCTGCTTCTGCTCCTGGCCTCTGAAGTGCCCCTTGTCTACAGCGTCCTTGTCTGTGAATGGGGCTCTGGCCAAGAGGGACAGGAGTCAGCTGGAGCAGCTTGTCTTCCAAGACCAGAGCTCAGGCCAAGCCCAGTCTGGCCCAGCTCTCCATGGGACCTGAGGCGTAGGGGGCACTGTCAGAGCCATCTTGGCACTGGAGCCTCCAGGCCAGGGCCCACTCCAGGCCCCCAGGGACCCATTGAGGCAGTAGCAACACATCCCCACCGTGGGAACTTTGCTGGTTCTGGCTGGGGTTTAAAATTAACCCAGAGATTAAATTTAGCAGATCAGACGGGGGCTGGAGGGCGGGCATGGGGGCTCTGGCAGGCTGGGCTCCACACAGTTGTGGCTACTCAGATACAGTGCCCAGAGCGGATACTAGATGAGCTTGAGGGTAACACAGCTGGCTACCCATGGTGGGGGGCTCCCTCTCCTGGGCGCTGGGACCATGGGGGTCCCACCCAGATCTCTCTCACTGGGTCCTGGGAGACAAGCCTGCATTTCCGGACACTCATTTTATGCGCACTGTGGGTCATCTGTCACCCACCCTGCCATAGGATAGCATGCCAAGGACTGGGGGGAGGGGTCCCTTGCTCAGGGCCACTCAGGAGGTTGGAGTGCGGGTGGAACTTAGAGATCCATATAACTCCCGGCAGACCAGGGTCAAGATGATCACAGAGTGGACAGGAGGGTGCCTGGGGGGCTGACAATTGCCCTCACCTAGGACCCCACCAGGGAGCTCCAAGAAAGACTGAGGAAGGTCCAGGGCTCCTCCTAGCAGCCCCTGCTCTAAGCCCCCTCTTTGGGCTGCAGGACAAATACTTTTCTGCTTGGCTAATGCTGCCTCCGAAGGACCTGGGGGAGAGCTAGGGGTTGTTTTTGTTTTGTTTATTTCTAAAAATTGAAACAAACAAAAATAATATACAGCCACTGAGAGGACAAAGTTAGAAAATTCAGAGAATCAAAAGTGTGTGTGTGGGGGGGGTGGACACAAAAAGGCCATACTTGATCTGACTTTATTGCTATGCAATGTCTAGAACATGAAAATCCATAGAGACAAAAAGTGGATTAGTGGTTGCCAGGTGCTTGGTGAGGAATGGGAAGTGACTGCTTCCCATGGGCATAGGCTCTCCTTTTGGGGTCATAAGAAAGTTCTGGCACTAGAGAGAGGTGTTAGATGTCAACCTAGTGAATGCGCTAACAAGCCTGTGTGGAGTCTCCGACTCAGGGCGGTCCCACGTGCCCGTGATGAATTGTGCTCTCTCGAGTGTTCAGTGGCTGAATTTTGGAAGTCAGTGGCCAGGACTTTCTACCAAGGTGCCTCTGGGTGGACACAAAATTCCAACATTTTGGTTAGGAGCTGGGAGCAAGCCATGTGCGCCACCCAGAGACCTTGTGATTATACCAAATGCCACAGAATTACTCATTTTATAACAGTTAATTTTATCTTTGGTAAATTGCACCTCAGCAAATATATATATATGGGAAAAAACCCAACTCACCCCAAATGTTCTACCCAGAGATAAGGGCTATCACAAGCATTTCCTTCTAGTCTTTTTCCCGTTTTTTAAGGTCTTGCTTGCGGTGGGGCTGAGTGGGGTGGAGTGGGTGGTGGCATGCACCTCAGCCCGAGCTCAGGACTAGCTGCTGTTTCTCCTTCCCCGTGTCCCAACTTCCTGGTTCCTTCGGCAGGCTTTTCCGTTGCACCACCCCCACCCCAAACCTGAGAGTCAGTCCTGGTGTCAGGATTCACAGCCACAGCATCTTTATGGTGCCAGGCAGATCTGGGTGCCCTGCATGGGTGAACTCCTATGGTAGAAAACATTCCATGACAAACGCTGATTTTATTGTGATGACATGTGTGTAACGGGAAACTGGCCCCGTCGCACCGTTGGTAAGGGCATTAAGCACAGGCACGTGGAACCATCACCGCCATCTATCTCCATCTTTTTGTGAATCAGCTCCAGCAGGTACGTTCTGCCCACTCAGCAAGAGGCGAGATCCGCTCCAGCCCCAGCCCCTTCCTCCCCCCAGCTCAGGCTGTGCGCACGTGTGCCGGACTAGAACAGCGTGCCGCAGCTCCCTTCAAAGGCAGACTGCCGGGTCTTTCTTTTGAGGGGCCTCTGGGTAGACTTGAACCTCCAACCTTTTGGTTAGCAGCCGAGCTTGTTCTCCATTTGCTCCACCGGCGACTCCCAGTGAGCAGTAACTCCCCTGGACCCCTTCTGGCCCCTGGTCACCACTGATAGTGTTTGCAAGCTTCATCCCGGTTGTAGGCTCTACCAGGACATCATTTCGCCTTATAGCCAAGTCCCGTCCTGTGGCTTGGATGGGCCACATTTGGTTCATGCATTTCTCCGTGGATGGACTCTCACTGGGTCCTGGGAGACAAGCCTGCATTTCCGGACACTCATTAGCTGTGCGGCAGCAAACCGTGGTGCACAGGCATCTGAGTAGGCCTGTGTTTGCAGGGTTCGCTCATGCCATTTCTGGACAAAACTGGGCATTGGGCACCGTCATTGTCCCCACTACCCGGATGGGGAGATAGAGGCCCAGGGGGGTTTCTGGGGAAAGGGGCTTCTGTACCCTCCTCTCCTTCCTGTGGAATTGGGCCGAGAGTGTGTATTGATAATTCTACCCCCTCGGGCTTGTCTGGGGCAGGGCTTCCATGGTTCCCACGGCAGATGGGGTTCTTGGGACCCAGCCTGCCCTCACGCTCCCTGTCTCTCCCCTCAGCGCTGGCCAGGGTCCTGCAGAGGCCAGCCATGGACTGGCAGGTGCCTGCTACCTCCACATGGCCCTCTGTCCTTTCTCCCCATCCAGGGTGCAACAGCCAGCCTGGGACCATGGGGAGGAAGAAAATCCAGATCTCACGTATACTCGACCAGAGGAACCGGCAGGTGAGCTGCTGTGGCGGGCCTAGGGGTGGGAGACGGTGGAGAGGGGGAGTGGGGGGAACAGCAGTGGGGGGAAAGACATTCCTGGCAGGGGGCATGACTTGGACAAAGGCTTGGCCATTTGGGGAAGCTTCATGTCCAAAAATCCCAGGGGATTTGGGGAGAGGGGACTTGAATCAGCATCAGGAGTTTGGTGACTTGGCATCTGCTCATCGTCATGGTCATTTGTCCACTCCATCTCCCCGATGCCTTGAGTTTCTGGTCACAGTGAGACGGGCGGCCACAGTCCCGCCCAGCCCCATGGGTCGAGGTGAGCCCGAGGGAGGAGCAGGGTTGGGGAAACCCAGAGAAGGGTGTAGGGCCTGTTTGAGAGGACAAGGAAAATGTCCCATAGGGGTGGACATTTAGGCCGGGTTTTGAAGCACGAATAAGAGTTTGCGGGGGAAGAGCCATAGAAAAGAACCCTGGTAGACAAGAAAGAACAGTGTAGCAGAGGCACAGCCATGTTGAGGAACCCGGAGGTCCCTCCCCCACCCCATTTGTGACTCCTCCCATCCCTGCCTGTGGGTCCAGGTGACATTCACCAAACGGAAGTTTGGGCTGATGAAGAAGGCCTACGAGCTGAGCGTGCTCTGTGACTGTGAGATCGCCCTCATCATCTTCAATAGCGCCAACCGCCTCTTTCAGTATGCCAGCACGGACATGGACCGCGTGCTGCTCAAGTACACCGAGTACAGCGAGCCCCACGAGAGCCGCACCAACTCCGACATCCTCGAGGTACCTGGGTCTGCCCCCAAGGCCAGGCACCCACCGCTCACTCCTTTTTGTGCACAGTCAGGTGGGCGCCGCCTCTGGTTAAAGCAGGTTTGGTGACACAGGGAGCCCTCCGGGGGCAGCTGCCTGGACAGTAGATCCAAAAGCCCACCCTGGGGCCCCACACTCCCTGGGCTATTCTGGTGAGTGACTGGTGAGCCTTCTCTGCAAACAGGGATGGGAGGCTCAGAAGAGTTAGCGCCCCCTGCTGGAGTTGCACAGCAAATCCATGGGGGAGGCCGAAGCGGCACCCGGGTCTGTCTGTCTGTCTCCAGGATGTGTGCTCTTCAACTCGTTGTGACGGATGAGAGGAGAGGGGATAGGGACAGACTGACAGACGGATACAAGCAGAGAGGGAGTTGGACACAGAGAGGAAGAGACAGACACAGAGGGAGACAGAGCTGGAAAGATGGAGAAAGTGCAGAGGAGAGGGATGGAGATGGAGAGACAGAGGAGACCGAGAAATAGAGAGACGGAGAGACACAGTCTGAGGCAGAGACACAGAAGGAAAGATGGAGAGAGGGGGATGGAACTGGAGAGACAGACAGAGCAAAAGAAACGGAAAGGCTGAGTCTAATGTAGAGACAGAAGCAGAAGGAGAGACAGAGTATGTGTGTGTATATACACACACACACACACAGAATCAGAGGTAGAAACAGAGGTAGAGACATACTGAGGAAGACGGAGAGGCAGAGCCAAGGCACGGGGACAGGGAGAGCTGGCCAGGAGCTGGCCAGGGTCAGCTTCCTTGAACACGACTCTTCCATCTCTGCACAGAGATCCGGAGAGGTGGAGAGAGATGGGGGACAGCGAGAGAGTACAAGATTCTGAGGGCAGGCCATCTGCCCTCAGGAGCAGTTCTGTCCGCGTGCAAGCCAGGCCCCAGCTGTTTAGTGAGGCCATTGTGCTGTTGGAGGGGGGGCTCTCCACCCAGGATGCGAAAGTTGGAACCACGGGCCCGGGAGCGCAGCAGGGCTAGGCCAAGTGGATGTGAGCCAACCATCCCAGGGACACACAGCTCAGGAGAGCCCAGAAGTTGCCCTCAGGCCCGAGTTCTCGCAAAATGTATTAAGCATCTCCTGGAACTTAAATAAAGACCAACCTGCTGGCAGAAAGCCCCCTCGGACGCATGGTGACTCTATGTCACAGGGTAAAACTGCCCACACAATGAGACTGCCACATTGTTCCTCCTCCGAGCGGCTGGTGGGTTTGAACTGTCAACATTTTAGTTAACAGCCAAGGTCCTTCCCAGGGGATGCATGAGATGGTGGCTCAGAGATTTGGGTCCGTGGGGTCAGGCTGGAGCCCACCGTGCTTGGATCTACCCTGTACCCAGGTTGGAGGTGTCTCTCCCTGCCCTTTGAGAATCATTCCCTGGCTGTGGCCTTGAGCGTCTACTCCATGTTTTCTATTCCTACAGACACTGAAGCGGAGGGGTGTGGGTCTCGATGGGCCAGAGCTAGAGCCGGATGAGGGGTCTGAGGGGCCAGGAGAAAAACTGCGGAGGTTAGCAGGAGATGGAGGCAACCCAGCCCTACCTCGACCCCGGCTTTATGTAAGTGACTTCTCTGGGGCACAGGGGCCTCATCCCATCTTCTAGATCACAGTGGCTGAGGGTCAAGGGAATTTAGAACTTAAGGGTGGGTCTCTGCCTGAGTAGGTAGAAAATGGTTCCTTGAAGAGTGGGCATTGTAGCTGGGGCGTTGAAGGATGGTTAAGGGTTCAGTAGGCGGTCAGTTTTTCTTTGTTGCTTTGATTCAGCAAACACCCCTTGGTGCTCGCCTCTTGTTGAATGAGAAGCCCCAGCTCGGGAGCGAGCTGTTAGACAGCCGGGCTCAGTTTCTCCCTGTGGAGTTTGCTATAGACTGGTGGAAAGGGTGGGTAGAGCCCAGAGGGAGAAGCAGTCCTGGGCTTCCTGAGGGTAGATATCGGTCCCGGAACACCTGGGGATTTTCCTCCTGCAATTCGATTCTCCCCATTTACCCTTCCACCTGCCCCAATTGACCAGTCCTCTACCCACAGCCAGCAGCCCCAGCCATGCCCAGCCCAGACATGGTATATGGGGCCCTGCCCCCACCAGCCTGTGACCCCAATGGGCTCGGAGAGGCCCTGCCGGCCCAAAGCCGCCCATCCCCCTTCCGACCAGCAGCCCCCAAAGCCGGTCCCCCAGGTGAGTGTGGGGAAATGGACCCCAGGAGGCAGCAGGGGCTCCTGGTTCTGGCAGAGCCTGACCAGTCCTCACTGTTCCCCGGGGGGGTCTCCCCCAGGCTTGGTTCACCCTCTCTTCTCCCGGAGCCACCTCTCCAGCAAGACCCCTCCCCCGCTGTACCTGGAGGGCCGGAGGCCCGACCTGCCAGGAGGCTTGGCCCCAGGCTGCGGAGGGCTGAACACCTCGGTAAGTGGGGGGAAGGGCAGGCAGGCGGCTCCCCCTGGGCTAGGCTGGACTTGTGCCTCAGTTTCCTCCTCCCCCCTCTCCTCACAGAGAAGCCTCTACGGCAGCCTGCAGAGCCCGTGCTCAGCCACAGCCCCGGGACCCCCAATCGGGGGCTTCCCTTTCCTCCCCGCGGGCCCCCCAGGTGCGTACCATCACCCTGCTCTGTTGTAGGAGGCGCCCCCACACCTGCCTGCAGGGATCCACACCCGCTACACACCGGGAGGAGACATTGGCTGGTGGGACGGGTTAGGCGTGGGCTGGTGGGGTCTCCCCAAGGTCCAACTTAGCCCATTTTGTCTGCTCCCCCTCCCCCCAGAATATGGCCTAGGAGACCCTCCACCGCCCCCTGGCTTGCTGCAGCCCCCTACCCTGGCCCCTTGGCAGCCCTCGAGAGGGGATGGACCCCCGACTGCCTCCACCCAGCCCAGGTAAGTGTGCCAGCTGCCCCTTTCTCCAGAATCAGGGTCCTGGTGAGGAGGGCTGGGGAGGGGAGGGAGCATCCCGAACCTCCGAAACCTCAGCCACTGCTGCCCGCTAGTGGCCATTCCTCAGCCTGCGAGCCCCTCCCTCCTGCTCCCGCCGGAGGGGGCGGCTATTTTGGAGGCCCCAGGAGGGCCGCCGCCCCCTCTTTTCCCAGGGTCCCTTCCCAACCCCCTCCCTGAGCGCTGCCCTCTGTCTCTCCATGCAGCGGGGGCCGCGGCCTGGGCGAGGAGAGCCCTCCCACCCGTGGCGCCTCCCCACCGACCCCCCCAATCAGCGTCAAATCCGAGCGCGTCTCGCCGGCCCCCGGGGGCCCCGGAGACTTTCCCAAGACCTTCTCCTTCCCGCTGCTCCTGGCCCGGCCCCTGGCCGAGCCGCTGCGGCCCGGGCCGCCCCTGCGCCGGCTGCCCTCGGGGGACGGCTGGCCGCGGTAGGGCCGCGCGGGTGCAGCCGGGCATCCAGGGCCGGACCGACGAAGGACGTGGGAGGAGCCGACCCAGCAGAGGCCCTCCGCGTGGGCACGGGGAGCTGGATTCATCTGCCATGGCGCTGTGTGTGGGGTGTGTGTGTCCGTCTGTCCATCAATTAAACATCGAGGGGCCTCAGCGGAGCCTGTGCCTGTCCGCGCCCATGTCCCATGGCCTCTGCAGCACCTGTCAGGGCTGGGGTCATCACACACATCCACATGCACACACTGACCCTGAGACTTGAGGGCTGTGGAGTGTCTCAGGGCGACCTTCAGAAGGCGTGGGAATAGGGATGGGCGCCCCACAGAGGCCCCACGCAGGGGTCTGGGGAGATAGGCACTTCTGGGCCCAGAGGTGAGGGGCAGGGGGTTGACACGGGACACTGGGCGTTAGTTAAGCCCCTCATTCGATCTACCTTTTGTGTAAGGAATCAGGGGTCCAAGAACCAGAGGGTGCCCCAGCGAAGGACAGCAGGGGCCTGTAGCATCTACACGTCCATTCTCCCCCACCCTGCGAGGTGGCCCCAGAGGGTCTCCATGGCTTGCCTAGGGAGAGAGTGGAGCACCTCAGCTACCCTCCACCCCCACCCCCGTGTTCCCACCCCTGTGCCCTGAGCCATCGGTGAATATACAGTTTCCATGCTAGGCCATGCTGTCTCTGGTTCTTCATCCTAGACCACCTCCCTCAAGTCCGAACTCCCCTCCTTAGGGACCAGTTCTAAGTCTCCTCCTCCAGGAAGCCCTCAGCACTGCCAGTGTCGAAAGCTGATCAGCTCAACACTACAGGGCGGGTGGGGGGTGGGGGATGAGGGGGGGAATTTGTCATCATCACTGAGAACCCAGACACACACGCTGTCGTTAGGAGACCTCAGTGCAGGGGTGTCCCCGCTTGTCACCCCCACCAGCCACCAAGGAGCTGCTTCAGCAGTCCAGGTGCCATCACAAGTCTTCTCAGACCCACAGCCACCCAACCCCGGGCGGGCGGGACAGACGAAACACTGCCCGGTCCTGCACCGTCCCCACTAGTGTTCTTGTGCCGGAGCCCATCATTGCAGCCGTGGTGTCCATCCATCTCGCGGCCTTCCGTTTCACTAAGCATAATGTTGTTCTCCTCCTGAGGACATGTCCAAAGTGTGTAGGACACAGTCTGGCCATCCTTACCTCGGAGGCGTGCATTCTTTTCGCAGTCTGTACTTCGTGTGGAAGCTCCGCTGAAACCCGTCCCCTTTGGGTGAGACAGAGAAGTGGTGGGAGGAGCAGAGGGCGGGGCTCAGCATCAGGTGCGGCTCCCCCCAACCAAGACTTCTGGGCTGAGCTCCTGGGGGCTACAAAGTGAACAACTTCTTTTGCTGGGAGGGGGGCAGTTGGTCACAATCCAGGTGCCAGGTCCACAAGACCCACATGGTTGGTTCCCCTAATGACCCTTCCTAAGCAAGCTTTGGGACCCCAATGTCCAGGAGAGAGAGGCACGTGATTGACTTGGTTTGTGAAAGCCCCCCCTCCCCCCTGGGGAGAAGGCACTTGGGGTTGGGGTGGGAATGGGGCGGGAGAGGGAGGGTACCTAGGGGAGGCAGAGGGGCACCTGTCAGTGAAGTGCTCGTTTTATGGCTGTATTTGGAGGAAGATCTAGGAAGCCTGTGGATGGCTGTAAGGCCGCAGTTCTCAACCTGTGGGTTGCAACCCCTTTGGGGATCAAACGCCCCTTTCGCAGGGGTCGCCCAATTCATAACAGTAGCAAAGTGACAGTCATGAAGTAGCACCGAAAATAATGTTATGGTTGAGGGGGGGGGTGTCACCACAACATGAAGAACTGTGTTAAAGGGTTGCAGCATTAGGAAGGTTGAGAACCACTGATCTAAGGTATGTCCAAGTTAAAAGAGAGACGGCCCCCAGCCTAGACTGCAATCCTAAATCCTCCCCCACCTTCTCTCTGACCTGCTCCCAGAGGGCTGAGCCACTGCCCACTGGCCGCACACCTGCCAGGCCACTGTCACCACATGCACACGCTCATCACCTCACAGATACAAGTTCACCACCCAGAAGACCTGGGCACAGGGCCCTGGCCATCAACACAGGCGTAGAGCTGGTCACCTGGGCCTCCACAGTGTCATAATGACAGCGCCCCTGCACCCAGACACAGGTTCAGGATCGAGGGAGGAGTGGCGTGGCCAGGGCAGCTGGTCTCCTGGGGAAACTGAGGCATGGCTAAGAGGTTCCCCCCCCCAAGACCCTGGATCTCATCCTAAAGTAGATAGGAAGCTGGATCCTTCCCCTACACCAGTACCCACAGGCTAAGTGCTCAGTGTACAGTTCATAAATGGGGGCTATTTTATCATTTTAGGAGTGCCCAGGGCAGGTGTGTGTGGTTTCCTTTTATTGCCAGGAGGCTGTACCTACACCTTTGGCCACCAGGTGATGCCCTACCATGTACTTTGGATTTAGCACTCACCACCCTAAAGTAAAATAAAACCATCTTTGCTTGCAAGGACTTTCAGACTCTGAACCTGGGCCCCAGAGAAAGTCATATGTTGTTAATTGCACACGGATGGTTCCAGGTGTCTGGGACCATGTCAGGATAGTGGGCTGGGCTCCAGAAACACCTGTGGGATCAGGCGTGGCCATGCTGTGCTGGGTTTGAGAGTCTCCCCTGGAAGAAGAGAGGAGGGAGCGTCGGGTGGAAGTGTTCTGCCAACATGTCATACTAAGGATAGAGAGGCGTTGGCCAGGAACCATGCCTCGCTCGACCAGAAGGTTATGCCAGAGCTGAGTTTTTTAGGAAGTGCTTGTGGAAAATGTAGCCTGTGTGGTGGCATAGTGAGTTATGTATTGGGCTGCTAACCCCAAAGTGAGCAGTTCTAAACCACTAGCGCTACTCGGGAGAAAGATGAGGTTTTTTCCTCTTATAGTGTTACAGTCTCAGGCTCACTACTTTTGCCCTTTGGTGGTGTAGACCCGCTGGGGGCCAGTGTCTCCTGACGTTATTGCTTAATAAACCAGTTGCACTGTTTCCTCTTAAAAAAACTTTAAAAAAAAAGTTATCATCTTGGAAACACACAGGGACAGTCCCTCTGTTCTAGAGGGTCTGAATTGAGTGAGTAGGAATGTAATGATGGGGGAGGGTCGGGTCAGAGTGCAGCCACTGGGGGGTCTGAGAGAGATGCTTTCAGTGGGGAAAAGCAGGTTACAAACCCTGTATTCTGACTCACAGTGACCCTGGTGTGTTACTGCTCCACGGGATTTCTTGTCTGTCACTTCAACAGAAGCGGATCGCCAGCCCTTTCTTCCATAACACCACAGTGTGGGCTTCAACGAGATGAGCGCGAACTGGTTTGGGCTATCCCAGACTTTGTGTTCTCAGGACCACTACAGACAGAGATGGTGGAAGGTTCCAGAACAGTCCACGCGGAAGGAGAGTGATGTCGGTCAGAGAACATGCGCGTTTGATGTGGGGCAGAGACAGGGATGGCTCAGTGAGGAGCAGGGGGCCTGGAATAGAGAACATGGATTTGCCCCAGGAAGAATGGAGATCAAGGCCTGTCCCACGCAGAACAATCAATCTGGCGCATCCAATGTAGAGCAGAGGAGGGAGCTTCCGGTGGAGAACAGAGAAAGAGTCAGGGACCAATGAAGAATGGACATTGCAGACAAGCTGCGAGGGGTAGAGTTCGTGGACCCTCCGACGTAGAACAGATGACTTTGGGACTGAGCAGCTACCCAGGGGAAAACTAGGTGTGGGGACAGGGAGGGCACCGGAAGCCGGAGACCAAGGAGGAGGAGATGGCCAGCAGCAGAAATGGTGACCGTGGGGTCTGAGTTTAATCTGAGAACCTAGGAGCCTAGTCCCTGGGAGCCATTGATTGTTTTTGATAAGGCGGGCGTTCCAAGCTCAGAACTGTCTGATGAAAGACAGGGCATACCTAAATGAGTGTTTTCGACACAGATCTGTGAGCTAAGCACAGGTGAGGAAACTCAGCCTCAGTGAGGGGCGGCTTTCGCTCGGAACCCCACAGGGCCTCCCAGACCCAGTCCGCGCGACCTACAACCTTGGTCTGCACTTGCGGGACGGTCTAGTCTGAGAACTACAGTTCCCGGAATGCACTGCGCCGCGCTAGCTAGTGTGCGCCCCTATGACTCAGCCTTATGATTGGTTGGACGGACTGTTAGTCAGTGCAAACGGGCTCTGATTGGTCGAGTCTCCTGGAAGTCCCCCTAGCCGGGCGGTCCACGCACTGTGCTCCCCGCAGGCGCCATGGTGAGCTGGGGGTCCAGGCGTTGGGTCTTGCGGGGCTCGGATCAGGCCGGAGGACGCCAAGGACCTGAGTCCCATGTGGGGGCTGGGAGCGCTGAGGGTCGGCATCACCCCGAGAGGTCGTGGGTACTTCGAGGTCTGGGGTATCGCCACGTGGGCTGGAAGCCTCTGAACGTTGTAGGGTTTCTGATGAGTCTGGGAACACTTTGCGCGGGGGCGGGTGCCTAGAGTTCTTACTGGGAGTCCTAAGTGGCCATGGTGGGGAGTAAGAACCCAAGCACTTTTGGAACCTGGTGAATGGACCTGGGGTCTCCTGGGGCCCAAGGAGCGTGGGAACCGTGCCAGAGGGGTCCCTTGGGGAGCTTTGAAAGCTTTGGGGTTCCCTGCAGTATAGAGGTGCGCTGTCGAGCCAGGGGGAGCCCTGGAGGGCAGGCGGAGAGTCTTGAGTGGACCCAGGATGGGTGGGTATGTCAGGTTCATTCACAGACGGAGGCCCCCAGGGCTCCGGATGGAACTCCCTGAGTTTATTCAAGCTTGGCGCCTATGGTTCAGGGTGGTGAGGGCCAGGTTGGAGTTGGGAGACCCCAGCCTCGAGGTGACTGGGGGCCAAAGAGCCTGCCTGGGGCCAGTCCTGAAGGCTGTGGATGGAGGGAGGTGTTGAAAGTGGAGGAGAACTGGGTACAAGGCACTGGAGGAGGTAGGGGGGAGGAGCTTGGGAACCCCATGCAGGAACTCAGAGTTGATCTCTGCAGGTTTGAGGCATCTTGGGCCCATGAGGAGGGACTTTGAGCAGAGGAGGGATGTGGCTCAGAGAGCCAGAAAGATGGCTGGAGATGGAAATGTTTAAAGGGCGAGAAAGTGAATCTCCCTGGGTCAGGTTTGTTTGGGGTGGGGCCTTGTTCTGTGCCCTGGAATTGAGTTTCCTAAACTATAATTTTTACAAATAATAATAACAACAACAATGAAGGGTGAGACACTGAGAAAAATCCAGCACCTCAGGCCTGTAAGCCCTAGGCTGGTTTTCCCAGAGGCAAAATGGAGGAGGGAGGGCAGGTGATGGCCTACAGTGTGAGGCAGAGGGAACAGGGGTGCCGACACCGTGTCCCTCCTGGAAGGGGTTGGGGTAGGAGAGGAGTGTGGGCGGTGTGCTGGGCACATGAGTCCAAAGGCGACCCTGACCACTCAGTGAAACAAAACACAAACTACCCCATTTCCAAATGAGGAGACTGAGGCTCAGAGGGGAGTCCCGGTCTGGGCTCCAGAGGTGCCCACTGAGTGACACTGCAGTGGGGTGAGATGGCCTGAGGCCTGGAGAGACAGGACCAGATTGGGGGGCGGGGAGGTGGGGGGCACTGTGCCTGACAGGGGCCCCAGGTGGGCTGGGGTGGGTCTAGGCCCAGTGGCGCTCAACCTTCCTAATGCCGAGACCCTTTCATAGTTCCTCATGTTGTGGTGACCCCCCTCCCCAACCATAAAATTATTTTTGGTTCATCACTATCATTTTGCTACTATTATGCATCGGGTGACCCCTGTGAAAGGGTTGTTCATCTCCCAGAGGGGTCGGGACCCACAGGTTGAGAACCGGTGCTCTAGGGTCTCAGTTCTCATTCCCTTCTTAGAGATGACCAGAACAGCCCAGTACACAGGCCCGCCCCCTGTAATCTGGCCTCTCTATAAATAACCTGAGAGCCGGGTGCTCACGCACACCCAGCTCATGCTGAAGGAGTGGGTGATGCCAGGACCATGCCCCTGGTGCCCTCTGCAGGCGGTGCTGGGAGTACAGCTGGTGGTGACTCTGCTCACAGCCACCCTCATGCACAGGCTGGCTGCTCATTGCTCCTTCGCACGCTGGCTGCTCTGCAATGGCAGGTGAGGAGGGTGGGGAGGAGCCCCAGGCCTAGAGCAGCCCTTAGTCCCTATAAGCCCCGTCCATCGGTCACCTCCCTCTGTCCAGCCCCACAGCCGCTGCTAACCCCTGCTGCTGAGTGCCCTTGGTTGGGAGTGGTTCTGAGAACCTGGTGGCAAGAGTGACCCCTCTCCCCAGGAGAGTTAGCAGGTTAGGGGCATCCAGGTCCTGATCTGCTGGAGGTCTGGCCCCCTCCCTGTCCCCAGTGGGGCCCCACCATCCATCTGTACTGTTCCCAGAGAGCTCCCACCTGACTCTCCTTCCTGTCCCAACCCCGATTTTGTGGGAGAGGGTCACTGGCTGGAGTCCCCAGCCCCAAGCTTCTGTCTGTCTGTCTGTCTGTCTCGACCTGCAGTTTGTTCCGGTACATGCACCCGACAGAGGAGGAGCTCCGGACTCTGGCAGGGAAGCAGAGACCCAAAGGCAAGAGGGAGCGGTGAGTATGTCCTCCTGGGGTCCCAGCGACAACCCACCAGGGCCTGCCCCTGGCACACCCAGGTGTGGCTCTGGGCAGAGGGGTCAGGGAACACCTGTTTATCATTGCCTCAAATTAGCATCAGTGTTACTGGAGGCTCCAGGGCTCTGTTCCCAAAGTGAATGATACCTGCCCTGCGGGGGGAGGGAGGAGAGGGGGGGGAGAGCGGGGAACTGGAAGGGTCGGGCGTGGGGCTTCAAAAGCAGATACCTACACTTTATCCTGTTTCATTGCCAGGGGGCATTGAGTTATTTTTTTTTCCCTGAAAAAGAGGTAGTGGGCCAAGTAAGGCTGGGAACCTGGGCCCTGAAGTCCCCCGCGCCTTCCAGACATAGTCCTGCCAGGCCATGCTGGGGTGCAGTGAGGTGGGCGGCCCTTGCTGACCCCTGAGAAGGGGGGCAGAGCCACTGACTCTCTCCTCTCCCCAGATGGGCAAATGGCTTGGGTGAGGAGAAGCCATTGTCTGTACCCCGGGATGCCCCCTTACAGCTGGAGACCTGCCCCCTCACGGCGGTGGATGCTCTACCCCCCAGCCCTGCCACTCTCTCCCTCAGCCCCCTCTGAGCTGTGTGCCCCTCCTCCAGTCCTGCGCTTCTTCCTGGAGTACCAGTGGTTTGTGGACTTTGCTGTGTACACCAGCGGCGTGTACCTCTTCACCGAGGCCTACTACTGCGTCGTGCACCCAGCCAGGGAGACCAACATCGCTGTGTGCTGGTGCCTGCTGGCGGTCGCCTTCTCCATGTGTCCTTCCACCTGTTTCCCCAGGGCGGGTGGTGCGGGGGTGGGGGGTGGGGTAGCATGAGGGCGAGGGGGGTTATCCACAAACCTCTCTGAGACAGCTGCCCTGGGGTTTGCTCCCCTGCGCTGAGGGCTGGGTGGGATTCGCCTGGGCGAGCTCCTCTCTGTTTCCGGGGATCAGAGCTCTCAGCCTTCCAGCCACCAGTGAAGCACGGGAGGGAGGTGGTGTGTGTGGCAGACAGCACAGGGTTTCCTTGCATCCAGCCCCCCACCCGATTGTTCTTCAAAGTGCAGGTCAGGGGCTGGGAAGGAGCGTTGGTTGGGGAGACACATCAGGAAGCCTGGTTTCTGAAAGCCTGCGCGTCTCTGAGGCCAGGCGGCCACAGGCCCATGGGGGCTAGCGTGAGGTGTTCCGGGAACTCACCTACGCTGGCTCAGGGAGCCAGCGATGCCTAAAGGTGCCCTGTTGAGGAAGGGGCTCTTTTGTCATTGGCCTGGTAGCCCAGGTGCCCCGCCAGCTCTCAGCCTCTCCTCTGAGCCCCTAGCTTGCTCTCCTGGGACCAGCCACGTCCCAGACCACCGTCAGGGCTGCCCTGTGCTGGGGATGGGGGGCCCACAGCTTGGTTCCAGTGGCCTCCTTAGCACTGCCACCAGCAAGGTCTTCCTGATGGTGACACGGCTCTACTTCAGCGCGGAGGAGGGAGGGGAGCGCTCTGTCTGCCTCACCTTCGCCTTCTTCTCCCTGCTCCTGGCTATGTTGGTGCAGGTGGTGCGGGAGGAGACACTGGAGCTGGGCCTGGAGCCAGGTGAGTACGTCCGGCCCGGGGGGCCTTGTTTCAGGCTAGGGGGTCTGCTAGGGAGCCCTGGGTCTCCCACCTATCCGTGCTCATCTGGGGCATCCTGGGGCCTTCAGGGGTCGGCAGTGCCCCCCTCCCAACCCCTGGATTCAGGGACCTGCCTGTCCTGGTCCCTGACTGCCCACCTGCCCCTTCTGCCCCTTCTGCAGGGGCTCCTGGTGGCCGCTCTGTCTGTTCTCCCCCCAGCAGCTGTCACCACGTCTCTTAGTTATTAACTTCTCGTGGTTAATTGCCATCCATCAGCTCCGGCTCACGGCAGCCCCCACTGTGTTGTGCAGGCTAGGACCGCTCCGTTGGGTGTTCAGGGCTCAGCTCCTCTCTGATCGGATCCCTGGGCCTCTCTGAGCGCCTCTTCCGGGGGTTGAACCGCCAACCTTTCAGCTAGCTTCCGCTGATTGCCACCTGGGGACCCCTCTGGATACTTGTAATCTCCTTTGGAGGGAGAAAGGCTAAGGACCACCATCCCGGCGCATACAGAAACCCACCCTCCTGCCCCGCCCTCTTCCCCAGGCTCCGGAGGAGGCCACTTTATGGTTCTCAAGGAAACAGTATCACTTTGCTTCTTGCTTTGTCTTTTCCACGTAGGATCATGGAATCCCGGGCGTGGGCCCTTGACAAAACAGCTGACGATGTCCATCTTTAAAAATAAGCAACACTGTTTAATAGTACAGCCGCGTCAGGGTTATGTATCAGGGTTATGTATCCCGGCCCCTGTTTATGGCCTGAGGCTGGGGGCCAGGAGCTCCCGTGGCCCTTACCTGTCTGCTGAGGGAATGGTGGGCGGTTCCCAGGGCAGGAGAAGACCTGGGCGTCTGCTCCCTGCGGCCCGGGGGGCCTTTTGCTCTTGACACAGTGTCGCAGGAAACAGCTTGTTTGATGCCGCCGTTTCTTGTCCTCGTGTAAGAAAGTGCGGTTGTCATTTCGGTCCTATCACAAATTGCCTGCCGGCAAAGATGCGGGAAGTTTCAGGATCTCCGGATTCCCTCCAAATGTCGCCTCGGCACTTCCTGACGGGTGGCCGGCCGTGCCGGAGATGTGGAGGCACTGGTGTTCCCTTTGCTGGAGGGAAGGCTGCTGCTGGTGCCTTTGTGTTGGGAACGAGGTGAAGGTTGACAGAGCAGGTCATCATTTGACATTCCGCGGTTCATACATGTTCCGATTTGGTGCCTCCATTGCCATCTGCCAAACGTAACTTCACATAGCCCGCTGCCTCCCTCTGTTTCCTGGTTCCACTCTTTCTTTTTTCAAAACTCTAGCTCTTTACAGGAGTAGAAAGCCCCATCTTCTGAGGAGCAGCTGGTGGTTTCAAACCGCTGACCTTGTAGTTAGCATAGGTGACCAGATTTAAAGCGGGACACCATTGACAGGGTGGGGGGGTGTTCTCAATTAAAAATTTGGTCTCTATGGACCAAATAGACCGTTCCCTAGCTTGTTGTGCATTCTTTCCCAAAATCGGGACTTTTAAAAAATGCCCCCCCCACCCCTCATCCCCCGAGAAGACTAGCTCCTGTAGGATGGTTGGCCTTTGGTGACTGGCTGGTTTCACCGAACGTAATGTTTTCCAGGTCCCTTCCTGGTCCAGGAGGTGTGAAGAGCTCATTTCTCCTGATGGTGGAGTACCCCTCTGGGGGTGTTCCGCGTTCTGCGTATCCAATCTGTTCTGTTTTTTTAACATCATTTTATTGGGGGATCTTACAGTTCTTCTAACAATCCATATGTTGTCATTCAAGCACATTTGTACATACGTTGCCATCATTATTTCGTAAACATTTGCATTCTCTTTGTGCCATTGGTAACAGCTCCTCTTTTTAACCCCCTCCCATCCTTGTGACCCCTTGATAAATTATAAATTATTATTATTATTTTCATATCTTACACTAACCGCTGTCTCCCTTCCCCCACGCTTTCTTCCCCCCTCCTCTCCTCACCTTCTCTCTGCCTTCCTGGTATTGCTACTCCCATTTCTGTTCCTGAGGGGTTTATCTGACCTGGATTCCGTGTGTCCTGAGCTCTTATCTGTAGGGCTAAGCCTGAAGGGAAAGGCAGGATTGGAGTCAGGAGAGCGGGGTGAGGCAGCCTCCAGGAACCAGAGGAATACTGTACTGTGTTTCATCGTGCTGGGCTGCGGCCTGGCTGTCCAGTCATTTTTTGCATGGACACGGGTTGTTTCCACCTCTGGGCTATTGCGAACAGTGTTGCAGTGAACACCGGCGTACAAGTTACTGTTCTCAGTCCTGTCTTCAATTCTTTTTTTGTTTTTGAGGTAGGTCTTCAATGTTTTACAGAAATTTAATGATTGATCTGTGTTCCCTTTTTTTTTATAACAGTTTTATTGGCACTTAACCCACACATCACACAATTCAATAGCTCGAGCCTATCAAGAAGAATTGTACAGTCATTACCACAATCCGTTTTAGAACACTTTCTCCCCCC